CTCAGCGTAGAGATCTGGTGTCAGCAGATTGTAGTCTGGTGTTGGGAGCCGTTTCTTACAGGGCTCTTGTAACAGGGGCCCATTGAGTCTGGGAGGCAGCTGGGGCCTGATGGGCTGGAGCTGGGTGGTGATCGATACTCACCACCCCGCAACGGATGACCTCACTGTCATGGCTGCCGGCTGTGGACACTGCATGCTAGTCATTAGTGCCGGGGCACCAATCAGGAGCTTAGAGTTGTCAATACCTGCCTCTTACAGATACTGTGGCCATCTGTCAGTGTATTGTGTAACGGCCTGAGTAAATACGGGGAAGCTCTTTTGAACAATAAGAACAAGGTGTACTATCGATAGAAAAAAAATTTGCTTCGCAGTAAGTAATTTAAGAAATCACTGAAAAGTTGTTAAACAATTCAGAGAATTTAAACAAAAAATAAGCAGATTAAGAATACATAAAAAAATGATCATAAATTCAACATGAGACCCTTTTAGGTTTAAATTTGAGAAATGAAACTTTTGTGATAATTATTCAACTTGCCTTATAGCTTAATCAAGTAAAATACTTTTATGAGAATTTAAGTTGCTTTTTCCTGGATGGTTTTATGCCTGGCCTAACAAGATACACAGCTTTTGTAGGATCACCAGAATTTTGTCTTTGAGTCAAACACATTTATAAATACTTTCCAATCATCTATAAATGCATTTTTTTAAAATCTGAATTCCAGTAGGAAAATATCCAATGTTTAAGAAATATCATTTGAGGTCACTGTAGAAAAAACAGAAAACTCACATTACACAGAGGCACCGGAGGTTGCGACAACCAATGCAGTGTCTCCTTCACCGTTCTTTCATTGTGAACATCAATGAAAAGGTTGGGAATTCTTAACAAAAATATTGTTTTTAATTATATGCACATAGATTTTTTTTTATCCACTATATTCCAGTTTGAAAGTGAATTCCTGCATCTGAATCTGCAAGTCATATAAAGTTTTTTTTTTTTTTTTTTTTTGGTTTAAAAAACCCCCCAAAAATTAATGTTTTTGTAATCACATGGCGGAGAAATTGATATACGTGATTGATTAGGTTGGTGGTCTTAGTGGAAATTAAACAAGAAGCTCCTTTTACTTCAATTACCCTAAACATTGGATTTAATCTGAATAATTTTGCTCCCTGCAGAAGTGGAACATTTTCAGAGGTTTGAGGAAAGGTTGAAGATCTAAGGTTAAAATATTTATTCAACAGTAATTATTGCATCCCTGCATTGTGGGATTTGTAGTTTTATTACAATAAAAATAACAGTAAAATTCATCAGAGCTAAAAAAAAAAAAAGGAATGAAACAAACTTGACTTGACTTTATACATTTAAAAACAGACAATGCAGCTGAATTAATATGAGCACAGAGGCTAATTGTCCACCACCAGTTCTGAGAAGGTTAGCTGCTATAAAACAAAATGGTAACATTCAAAACAAATTAAGTTAAAAAAAACAGCAACAAGCAATAAATTAATACAACAATTAATGAACATGTGACATGTGTATGTGATTAAACACCTACAGAAAATCTGGTCGTATTTAAGATGTTTATGGCCTAAAATGAGGAAGAATAAAGACTTTTCAATCAATTGCAGAAACGCTGAGAAAAAAGAATGAAAATGAGAAGACGGCAAGCCTTGGAGATCGATAGATCCTCCTTAATAATACAACATTATCCTTATTTGCCCTCCTCACTCAAATCAAAAGGTTGGACATTTATGCATGAGTGACATCAACCCGGCAATTAAGTTGGCCATTTAAATGAGAGAAGGGCTTCCTCACCTCCTGTGTTTGTTTTTTCCCCCCTCTTCTCTCTTCCTTTTTTTTTCCCTATTCCCCCCTCTGTTTGATGAGGGGAGAGGGTGAGCTCGAATTAGGGCGATGGGTCTTCCTTTGAGTGTCAGCCTAAAATGATCAGAGTAAAGATAAGAGGGTCTAGCAGCCCTCAAATCAGTCAAAGTGCCAAAGTCGGCCTTTTTCTCCTCAATTACCGGGTCTGTGAAGCCAGGGAGTAGAAGGCGCAGAGCCTGCTGCATTACTAAAGAGACAATCTATTTCCCCTTTGACCAGAGGGAGAGAAATCATTATGGCATGATTAGTAGCTTCGGCAGTGGGCGAGCATGGAGGTACTACAGGAGAACCGTATTAATTGCCTTAGACCGAGGCATGAGCGGGATTGTTTTAACGTTGATTTGAGGACCTGTATGACTAGCTGTCGGAGATAAAAGCCCGTGTCAGGTCTTAGTTATACTGGCAGACTTCGGGCGTACAGAATGAGAGGCTTGATGTCAAAAAGAGCTTCTGTGGCTGGCCCAGAAGTCTTTCTCTGTATGCCTGTCGATGTCTTCCTCTTTGTCTTTCTTCACACTTCAGAGTTTTTCCTTTACGCCTCCCACTATCCCTCCCTCAACTCCCCCCCACGCTCCCCCGCCTCTCCCTTCCCTCGCGTGGACTGCACCCCACCCCTTCCCACACTCCTGTTCTCTCCCTCCTCCAACTGATAGCTGCCTTGGCCGATTATTTCATCCAGTGCAGTCCACTGAGAGCCTCCTCTCTCGGCTTTGGAAGAGCTTTAATTAGCCATGTTAATATCCCCTTCATTGGCCTTAATATCACTCAACACCTTCCTCCATCTCGGCGGCCACCAGGGTCCCCCTGTCCTGTCAGAACAGCTGATTATTGAGAAGGATAGCTTTAATCAAACCTAATTGCAGTTCATTCTTTCCCTCTATCCCCCTTTGCCCTCCATTGCCAACATCTAATGGCAGCGACGACTTGATATCCCATTAAAAAACAATTAAACAACCTCCTTTTGTCTCTGTGCGTGCCAAAACACCAGCACAAACTTCTGTAGATATTTAAGAAGTACAGGAGAGAGAGGGGCCTTGTCTTAATTGCTCTCCTTTCCACCAAGGACCAATTTGCAGAGTACTCATGGAGAATCCTAACCAACTCAAATGTAATGAATGCTATAGTAGTGTGGACGGTGAAAATGAAGCCTCTTTCTTTTTTTTCTTTTTTTTAGGGGAGAAATTGTACTTAATTGCCTTCATAAGATTAAGCATAAGGAGGCTCTTTGTAACAATGTGGACACTCAAACTTTTGGTTTTGCTTAGGGAGGAGCTGCATGGGAAGGCACTGAAGCATCCAGGAAAGAGACAAGACCAACTCTGAAAGCGATGTGTTTCTTTTATGAAGTGAATGCCTGGAAAATATATTCTGTCTCCAGCACTGACATAAATTGTCTCTCAATAGGTGATGCATGTGCATGCACATCCACACGCAAACCCACTCCAGCGCAAGCACACACGCGCACACACACGCAGACACGCACACATACAAATACGTGCATGCCGTATGAGAGGCGACAGACAAATAAAAGTCGTATTTCAGGTCTGCTTTCCGCAGATGTCTGCTGCTCTACATTATGACTCTTCTGGGAAATAAAAACAGGGTCAGGGAATTAGAGTACATAATGGTCATTTTGATGATCAGCCAACAGATGCAACCCGAAAAAACACAGCGAACACAATCAACTGAAACGCACTAATGACAAGTTAGGATTTTTAAATTTTTTTTTTTTTTTTTTTTTGATAGCCTTGCCACACACTGACAGGCTATCAGCATTCTGGCATGGTTTAAAACATCTTTTATTGATGTCGAAGCCAAAGCTCCTCGGATGTGGAGGGGGAATATTTTCTCACCTCCGCTCGCCCTCCTGGGTCCACAGCGGAGCGCAAAAGTATAGAAGTCTATCGAAGAACGCTTCTAAATGACCAGTGCATGTGTTAATGCGGCCAGGGTTAGAAGGGCCATTTCAGACTCTGATTTATGGCCTGGCTGGAATCCCAGCGGGCGAACGCAAAAGTCTTAAGTGTTGTGAACGCGTCCTCGCAGGCCACACAAGTCACTGAATTTAGCTGAATGAAATGGCCACGCAATCCATGGTGCAATCTATGGTAATCCAGTAAGACACGGCGATTCGAAAGCCGAGTCACTTTTACAAAGGCAACAATGGCATTGTATATAGTAATAATGGCGCAATGTGATGAAAAAATAAATACGACTGTGCTGTATTTCTATAATTGGAGAAACCGTAGGCACAATCAGTCGGGATCTGTGGTCGATTTCATTGTTTGTTCTGCGTGTATGCTTTTCAACACAATGGCCTACAGCTGAGATAATTTCTCGCCGCGCTTTTACCTTCCTTGTAAATGTTTCCCTCCTTAACTATTTTGCGTCGGGGAGGCCACATCTTGATACGCGCGACTCTAAATTTGCTTCCTTATCAATAAATCCAGCGAGAGAAGAGGGCAGCTTATGTGAACTAAACCAAGCCCAGATCTCACTCAGACGTGACATTTGTTCAGAGACGATTAGCCAGGTTGTAATTTGTGGCATAATTGCCTCACCCACCCACAAGTACATGGGTGTGTGTACACATTAGGTGTGTGTGCCTGTGTGTGTGTGGCATTCTGCGGTCCCAGGAGTGTCCGCCTAATTGCCTGACAGGACTATAAGTTTTGTGGCGCGCTCTCACCTTGTTAGGTCCTTTATCCCTGATGCTCTTCAAACAAGACCTGGTCACAGGTGGGCCTCATTTGCTTCCCTATTGAACAGGGGAACTTTAATTGCACAGGGGGTGTCCTGGGATTAAAGAGGTGGGTGGAATATCAAGTGACTTCCTGTATGTTAGTGGCAGATGGGTGTTGGGGAAGACCTGTGAACTCAGGTGAGATCACAAAGAGGCTGAAGCTCCCGGGTTAGAACAAAAAAAAGAAGGAAAAAAAAAAGCAAATGAGATTAAAATGTTGAGATGAATGTGTGAATGCAATCAAGTGTGCCTGGAGAGTTTAATTTAAACATTCTGTCACTTTTTTTTCCTTCATTCATTTTTTAACTTTGGGAACATAACTAATAGTTTTTTTTTTTGTTTTTTTTTTTGCTATTCTCTGTTGCTCTTTTTCAGATTCTTCCTAAAGTTCTTTCTCAAGTGCAATCAGAACTGTCTGAAAAATGCAGGGAATCCACGAGACATGCGCAGATTCCAGGTGACTGAAACCTATTTCACACATACGCTCCATTTCTGTCACTGTCTTTCACTGTCTGTCTTCTTCCTTCCTTTTTTTTCAGACACACGCACACGCGCACAGACACACACACACACACACACACACACACACGCACAGGTGTAGAAATGTGCAGCTACAGCTGCTACTCTGCACTAACTCACCCTGACACAGATTCACATATGAACACATTCTTATTACTGGCACTAAAGGAGGCAAGAAAAAAAAAATAGAGGAAGAAAGAGTGAAGGATTTTGTGTCGTGTGTGCCCTGGACAGAATATTTATTAGGGAATACCATCTGACACAAATAAGGATATAGGATTTAAGAGTGCCATCAATTGTGTTCCTGACAGCTTTCTGAGCCCCGGCGCACAGGGGAGGACGATACAACCACATGTAACAACAGTGTTAACTCAGGATCTGTCTGGCAGAGGAAATGCATACCTTCTTGCGCACTCGTATGCGCGGGCACGAACCACATATGGACGCACGCACATAAACGGAGCGCATGTGTTTGCTTTCTTCATGTCCGTCTCTCGGTTTTAAGCCACATGTGCATATGCTTAATGCCAGTCATGCAATTCCAAGTACAGCCAGCGGGAAAAAAAAAAAAAAAAGTACACGAGCGCAGAGTGATGTTGGATGTTTCTCTTAGCCTCTCACTTCTGATCTGTCAGAGAAGTAAAGACGAGCGGTGATTGACCCACTCCTGATCCATTTATCCAACCGTTCATCCATTCTGCCCCCGACATTTTCAACACAAACAGCCCACTAGGTCAAGGTGAGACAGCAAGAGTTGGTGTGATTTGTCCTATCAGGGTTTACTACAAACTACAAGAGGACGTCCGTGACTGGCAGCACTATTCAGTGATAGACACATGAGCAGGCATCCTCCAGGAGGAAGCCCAGACATGAAACAGACAAGACAGGGTGTCCCCTCCTGATGTCACCACCATCAGACCTCCCCTGCCTCCTCAAATCTTCCCTCAGGGTGAATGTGGACTGATGCGTGACAGCCACCATGGGTTTTCAGCTTTCTCGCATTCCGGTATCAAGAAGGAATTCAAGAACCAACTTTTCGCCTTTTTTTTTTTTTTTTTTTTTTTTTTTTGATTTTTTTTAATAATGCATGACTTTTTAATTCGGTCATTTTTTTTATTATAAA